GGGGAGCCTATGAGGTTTGAAGGAATAAAAGCAAATCATCCTTATATACTTTCTCAAGCCTACATTTAAAAATTAAAAGAACTGTTGTTAGAACTAGTTACCATGTCTCAGATGATCTGAGCTCCGCTGTGCTCTCCTGAGCTCTGAATTTATAGAGGATTTTCACATTTATCAAGCTCAGTTCTGCCAAGCATCCCTTTGAAGAACCCTAGGGGCTTGAGGCGCCTCAGGCAAAACGAAGACTGCACCTCTGTATACATGGTTCTAAGTATGGTTATTTTTTTCCCCAGAGCATCAAAGCAGTTGAAAAATTAAAAAGTGGGTACATTAGGACTTATATCATTATATTAAGTTAAATGTTTTATTTATGCCCAAACAGAATTTCATTATTATCTTATTTCAGGTTACTTTAATTTAAAATTATTTAAGATTATCACATGGTCAAGAGAAATTGTCAAACATAGCAATTCTCTCGGTTGGAACCAAGAAAAACAGAGTTAATTTTTAAAATCTGATTTATGAGTTGCCTCCATTTAAGCCAGGGGCACACATTTTACCTTTTGTTTCAGGTTCCAGTATGGCTAAGCACGGCACTAGTCTTTTAAAAATTTTGATATTTTGTCATCAAAGATTTTCGGCATTAACTTGAGTTTTAAAAATTATTACATTACGATATAGTTAATTTTGATGATTTTTTGATACCCCCTTAAATGTTGTGTCTAGGCATTTCCTTAGTCCCAGCTCTGCTATGATACCTTTGTTTTGTTGCAAATGCCCACATTCAACATACCATGTCCTCTTTGATTAACCTGCCATTTTCATCCCCTACTTCCTCACATCCCTAAATCAAAGGGGTCGGGGATCTATTTTAAGTACCTTCGAAGAAAAGAGCATATCATTCTAAAAAAGATACTGGACAAGCAATTTTTAAAAACTGGATGTCTTGCATTCTTAGTAATAGAAATCTCTTTTAATCTCCCTTTGGTATCCCCTTTGGTTGGAGCCAAACATCTAAGCAGACAAGCACAAGAAAAAATAATGAATTCTCCTTTCACTCCTCCAATACCAATGTTGCATGAAGCAGGGAAAAACCCAGATCAAAACAAAACATTAAGTTCCCAAATATCACTCAATGTTTGCTCTTTCAAAACAGAAATTATAATAAATATTTTTCTTGTTCTTGGTTTTACACTTTTGAAAACTCATTTCTTTTCCCCTGCAAATAAAATCTTACGCAGTTTCCACTTGGCCTCACAGGAATGTAAAGCTTTCTTTAGGTATGTGAACTGGTGGCAAAGAACAGAAGCTTCAGGAAAAAAAACCCAAAGGGTCAGAAACAACTAATAGGCTTTGCTTTAAGTCACAATGCCACAACTTAAAGTTCTCTCTTGTGCCATATTGCTGTGTAGGTTGCTATCTCATGGAAACCAAAATAGAGTTTAGTGATGCCCAAGTCTTTGGTAAATAGTTGCAAATGAACCAACTGGTGAAATTTGAAGCAATCTGTTAGTAATTGTTAACATTTATTAAGCATTTATGATAAACTATATACTATTCTAAGAGCAGACAACTCTATATTAAAGTTGGTGCTACTGTCTACCTCTAGTCTACAGATGAGGAAGCTGAGACAGAGAGAGATTAAGAAATTTATCCAAGACCACACAGCTAAGAGCCCTGGAATTGGAATTCAAACTCGAGTGATCTGGCTCTGGATCTGGCTCTGGATCCAAAGCCTTAACCAGTATGTTAAACTACACAAGCATGTGTTACTGATGGATAATTGACACGCCAATGTAGCCAGCAACATGTGCCATTTTGGGGTACTATAATATAATTTACTATCCCTATAATCTACCATCACAGTAATCTATTGTCACTGTAATCCATCATCACTGCTTCTTGACTTAAATACCACTCCTTAGCCAGCCATTCTAGGGCTTCTGCCCTCAGTGCTGGCCAGCCTCTATCATGCCCCCAGCCAGTCAACATAGTTACTGTTATGTTTAGGCCTTGCTCCAAGCTCCCCAAACATCCAGGCGTGTTTACATCCTCCCCAGTCTTCAAAGTTCACTGCAAATCTTTCCTCTTCTCAGAAGCCATATCTCTTTCCCTTCTCCAAACTCCAAGTGGATTTACGGTCTGGAGCATTCCTTTGTCAACACAAAGACTCCTTTTATCAATGTCAAAAATCACCCAGCTCAAGCTCCCATGTGATAGTAAATAAGTGATATCCAATGTGGTGGATCTAAGCTAGAGATTCTTAGCCCTGGTTGCTCATTAGAATCACGTGAAGAACTTTGAAAAATCCCAATGTCCAGATGGCAATCTAGAACAAAAGAACCAGAATCTCTTAAAGGGTGGTCCAGGAATAGTTGTTCTTCAAGCTCCCCAGGTGATTCCAGGGAGCAGGTGAGTCTGAGAGCAACTGTTCCAGCACCTATCGTTTAGTACTCTGTGACATACTTAATAACAGGCCTCCTATTATTTTTAACTTCAGAGGCCTCCTCCAACAAGTCTGGAAGCTCTTACAGGCAAGCATATGCTTTGATATTTTAAGATTTATCTACTCCAAGTGTGGATCATGGACCATCAGCATCAGCATCACTTGGGAGCTAGTTAGAAATTCAGATTCTCAGATCTCCACTGGTCAGTCCCACTGATTCAGAAAGAGCCTTTTACCAAGATCTGGTGATCTGTATGCACAGTAAAGTTTGGGAAGCACATGTTTATGGCATAAAGACACCACCTATAGCTCAAGGGTAGGACTCTCAAGCCTCAAAAGGTCACTAAAAATAAATATTCATTTGTTAATGAATGCATTTTACGTCAAGGCATTATTATCAGCCTTTTGGGCTGTTCCTAGGCCTATACCTAGACGAAAAACAAGCCAAACATTTTCTTCTCCTTCTTACTAAGTCAGTCTTCCCCAAATGTTTTCTGTTCTTTGATAATGCCAGTCCTTGACATACACAGACCTCCCGTGAGCTCCCCTGCCCTTCCTGGAAGCCCAGACACTCACCTAAGACCTTGGTCTAGAGTCAGCTTGGCTAGACCTTATAATTCTACCTCTTACTCTCATAGGGATAGAGAACAGAAGAAGCTAGACAATTGTACAGCTTGGGATGGGCTTAGTATGCATGCTTCTTTTCCTAATAGTAGAGGAAGAAAGGTTCACTTTTTACCTTGGCATTTATATGCAAAGAACATACTTGAAAACCACATGAAAATAACTTCTATCAACTTTTTTTAAAGTGCAAAATTTATCTAGTTAATAGTGCCACACAAAAGCAGAAATTTGGCCAGTCAAAATCAGTGGATTTTTAGGTGTGTGTTTTCTAGCTTTGTCACAAAGTACCAGTGATATGTTATAAATACAGCTTAATAAGGGATTCACAAATAGAAATGCCACTATGTCTGTTTCTTTGCAAAACGGAGGGGAATAAGTGAGTTCATTAAAATTCTGCTGGTACATAATCTGTTGGAAGAAAAGCCATTTGTTAGTATAAAAACTTAAGTTAGAACTCAAACCTTGATGAGGGTTAGAAAGATAGGAAAAATTTAAGTGTAAGGCCAATTCTCTGATATGAAAAGCAAGGCCCTGAAATTCTAGCCCATTTACACAATTTGAATGTATTTTTATTCCCTCATGGCTCTTGAGGCTTGAATCCAGGCAAAACGTCTTACTTGAACCAGAATTTGGCCTGATAATAATTGTCACAGACATGGATTTTTAAAAGTGCATTTGAAAGGGTGATCCAATTAAAAGGTCTTCCCTGCTCGGCTGGAGATGGAGTGAAGCTGCATTTAGTAGTGCTATTAATGTAATGACCTGGGAAAGAAGGAGACCAAACAATATGGAATCCTTTTTCAGCAAATTTCTCTAAATAATATAATTTTTAAAATATCTGAAATAATCATAACCGAAAATTGATTTATCAAATTCAACATCATTATATAGGAATAACTTAACATGTGTCATTGTTTCTAGGCACCATCAAATAAGACATACCATTATTTTATATATGACTAAGAAAGAAAAAAATGCTATGAATTACATTAGGACATGTCATTGATTATAAGATTATAAATCTCAATTTCGGAGACGATAAAACACAGGGGAAAATGTGTCTTAGAATTGTTGAAATTCAGTAGATTAAAAGTATAACAGAAATGATAATTTTATAAGAGAATAGCAACAACTTTTTCTGTCACAAATTTAAGGCTTAGTGTCATGGTGGTGATATTCCTTCTGGTTAATGATGCAATATAATATCCTTAACAAGCTTTGCCAGATGCTCAGTGCCCCCACACACTGTGCCTCTGTAGCAAAGGTTGGGATTAACCATAAAATCTGGCTAATGCAAAAATTCAGGGCTTCTCCTTTGGGGGCAAAAATGGCAGCAAACCATAGCCTGAAGCATGACTTGCATTTTCCTCTTAGTAAACATGGATGCATGTGGAGACCAGTGTGCATTTTCATCAACAGCATACTAGCCATAAAGAGAGAGCCAAGACAGTGCACGGCTCTAATTTCACATGGGCACATAGGTTTGGCCAAGGCCCGTCCTGTGGTTTGGTAATGGGTCACTCCCGCTGGTACAGCTGCGCACACAGCCAGGTGCATGCAGCCTTAGGGGCCCTGAAGCGCAGTTATCAGAATGCTAGAAGCTGAATCGTTGATGTGCATTACAGTCCTTTGAGCTTCTTGCCAGTGATTTATTGCTTCCACCCCCAGTAAATACAGTCAAAAAACCTCGAGAGGCTAGAGAAAACTGAAAATGAGACAGAAAAATCTGGTAAAGTGGTTTCTAATTCGGTAAGTGGATTGGTAAGACTGAAGAATTTTCTGACTAGGGGGACTGATCGCAGTTGCCAGAAAGTTGCCAAAATTCCACTTCAGGTCACCCTGCATGGAGTTATGTAAACCTTTCTAGTTACTTCAGAAATGGAAATAGAAATCCCTAATGTGGTTTTAGAAGGTGGAAAACTGGCATACTCACGATGATTGGGAAGCCTTTCTTCTGAGTAAATAGTCCACGACATCAGGATCGGTCTCTAACAGGCTGATGAGCACTTCGTTCTGGAGATCTGGCGGAACCTGGAGGAGCCACATGTTGAGGCATAAATGAAACCATTCAAGAAACAGGCAAAATATGGTCATTGGCAACTTTACTATAGTGTGAAACACAGCCTTAAAATAGGAGAGCAGAGTGGTTAAAACCAAACCTACGCCAATCCATACAGCCAGTTTAATCTCAGGACAAACTGGATGATTACCAAATAGTCATATTCAATCTAAAATGTCACCCTTCATATGCTGGAGATACAACCTAACAATTGGATGCCTTTGTTGCTCAGGCTAGATTTTCTTGGTTTTGAATAAGCAAAATATCATGGTTAAGAGAATGGTGTTTATAATTTATTGACCCAGTGAGGACACTTTTTAGAGTTCATGTTTATAATTATGCCAAGACAATAGGTATAAATGATGACTGTCTTGGTCAGTTCTGGAACACCTGATTGGTTTCTTAAGAGGGCAGGCTCTCAAGCCAGACTGCTTGTGTTCGAATCCCAGCTCCACCACTTATTAGCTGTGGGGCCTTCAACAAGGTACAGTGCCAAGGCCCCTTCTAGGTCTCAGTTTACCCATCTGTAACATGGGAGTAAAAGTAGCACCACAAAGAGTTGCTGTGGCAATTAAATGACTCATTCTATGCTGAGACTTTAGAACAGCACTTGGTCAATAGCAAACAGTCAAAAAACTGCTGGCTACTATATTTGCACGTCACTTTGTTATTCGGTGCCTGCCTTCACTCCTTTCTTGTACCCTGGTCCATTACCAATTCAAAGTTTCCCACTTCATAATTGGAAAGGCACCCAATAGAGTTCTGTGGATGAGCGCCACATGTTTCTCTAAGCCTAATCCACAGTACATCTTCTAAGATGGCTTTGCAACCCTGAGTCATCCGTGTGGAAATGTTCTGTGAGAAACGATTGAACCCAGATCTGACTGATGGTTTCCTATTCCACAGAAGCTGCTAGCTCAACCAAAGGAAACTCAAACTACTGAGAGAAAATAAACTTTTAGTCTGATTCTCTCACACTCGGACTCAGAGAGAAGACTTGTTACAATTGCAGGGACAAGTCTTCTGAGAATAAGTGGCTGGTGGAAGAATTTGCCTCTTGCCTCTTGTAGAACTCTGTGGTTCCTGAGCTCTGAGAAGCTGGAAACAATTTTATTAATAAAACCAGGGATGAGAAGCAAGAAAATGCATTCCTTCTCTTATAAATTTGTTCCTTCTACTTTATCCCGAATCTTCATTAATGACATTGCCAAACCCTAGTCACACGAGGTCGAAATCATGTATTCAAGCCTCTCTGTGTCCTCCTCTTCTCATTTAGAGCTGGGAGGCCTACTTGGTGTCATCTCTGTTACTTCTTTCCTCCCTCTTCCCTTCCAACTGCAATGACCCAAGTTCAAGCCCTAATTATCTCTTTGTAGTGGTCATCTGTTGGCCATTATAAGCCTCCATTTCCCTCTTCTTAAATAGTTATACCCCAACTTCCTCTGGAAAACCAACTGCTCCCCAACCCTTAGCTCAAGGTTGAAGTGTGCACCCCAGTCTAAGCCTATTATCATTCCATTCCCACCCACCATGGCTGCCTGAGCAACAGACATGTGACTCCATTAGAGGCAATGAAAAGCCATGAGAATTTCCTTGAGACTTCTGAGAGAAAAGACACAGGGCCTGTAGCCATACAGGGCCTGACAATTGAGCAAATGATACCAAGAAATGAAGAGAGAAAAAAAGGGGTGTCTTGATATTATTTGAGTCTTGGATCAAGCTATGTCTGAAGCCATATTTTCTTTTGGATTGTTCAGCTATGTGAGCCCCCAAATTTCTTAAGCTAGTTTGAGTTTTTAGTTGGAAAGACAAATACGTACTTGATGGACCTTTCATACAACAGCTTGCTTATTTGTGCACTATTTCCTTCACATGTGCATCAAATTTCTTCTGTATACAGCTGTCAGAATTCTCTGATCAAGACACTCACTTGCTGGAAACCCTCTTTATCCCCATAGCTGAAGGAATGCACTCACTTGCTCTCTTCTATCTCTATTTCCCATCTTCTCCCCTAAGAGCCACCCCCAAACACCCTCTACTTGAGCACAGTGGTTTTTCTCCCTCTGACCTTCTCCCACCTCCATCCCTTCTACCCATTTCGTAAATATTGAGTGAATGCTTCCTGAGTGCCAGGCAGTGGATGCTACGATTCCGATTCCACTACAGACCAAACCGACAAGAACTCTTGTCCTCATGCTGCTGGAAACGAATGTGGGAAGACAGACATTAAACAAATATACAAGGAAAACAGAAAGAGAAGCAAAGAAGGACGACAGGAGATGCTGGGGAGGGGTGCTGCAATTTTAAATAGCATGATCAAGTCCCAAAGAAGCTGACATTTTAGCACAGAACTGAAGTTGATGAAGGAGTTGGAGAAAATCATTCCAGGCAGATGGAAGGAAAAAATATCAGTGATAAGGATCTTGAGTCAGGAGCAGCAAGGAGGTTTATTTTTTGTATCATATGTGACTCTTATTGGTAACAAATGCAAATAGAAAGGGTCATGGCTATAAATCTATCTATAACTTCTTTTTTTAAAAACGCATTTCACAAAAAACCTATGATACCATTTTGGCTTAGAGACATTATTTACAAATAAATAAAAAGATATGGCTTAAAAATGTAGATCCATGTATTATAGGAAGTGCAGATAATATTTTCCTATGTGTTATACAAAACTGATTACAGCGTATATAATTCATTACTTAAATTAATTAATTTATAATCCATTACTTAAATTAATTAATTTATAATCCATTTTGTTATAAAATGGCTTAACGCAGCTTCAAAAATTTATATGATTAAACTGCAGGGTTTTTTTCTTTTTCTAATAAAGGAATAGTTCAGAAAATTGGGGCCAGTGGGAAAATGAGGTAAGAATTTGAAATGATGCCTGGAACTGATAATCATACAACAGCATTCAAGGCTATTTTCTCATAATTCCTTTAATCTTTGGCTATAGTTTCACATGTCGTTTCCTCTCATTTAATAAAAATTTCAGATTACTGGCTTAGTTCAATTGTGTGAGCATTCATTTTTCTATTAATTTAGGTACTTAATGGAGAAACAAAAGGCAAATGAATAAACCGATAGGAAACAGCGGCTTAAAGTATGTAAGAAAGAAATACCCAGGCAGAGCATTCACTTGTGTGTACATTGTCAGGAATTAGGATGCTGTCAAAAAATATCCCACTGAGTCAACAGCCCCTGAAGTCGTTTTGGCTCTGCTGCTTCTAATTAATGTAAACTGGGACACATCAATCACCTTCTTTAGGATTCTGTTCCTGCATCTGCAAATCTTAAAGGTATATATCCATTCTCCTCAATGGGGGTGTTATGGGAATCAAAAGGGCTAACCAATTTGAAAATACCTTACCAATTGCAAGGAGGGATAGTAATAAAAATGTTTAGAAATAGATGAAATAATAAGTTAAACACTTAAAAGAAAAAATAAAAGCAGATAACAAGGAGATGGACAATATTTGTGATTTTTTATTTTTTATTTTTTTACTAACAGTCTTCCCACTCTGTCTCTGTCTCCATTTGTCCATGGACAAGAATCATGCCCTTCTCTTGCTTGTGGGTAATTAAGCTATGGGATTTTCTCTGCTCCCAACCTCCCTCTGAATTTCCGGAGTTACAGCCTATGACCTCTTGGCCCCTCAACTGCAAGAGTCTGGAAGCCAGACTCTGTGTAGCCTTCCCCTTCTGGTTCCTTCTCTTTTGCCAGACCTTGAGTCTTCCTTCCTGCTGGTCACATAATTAGAAGGTAAGTTTCCTTAAGACAGGGGTTACCTGAATTCTCCACCTGGAACTGATACAGGCTCCTAAGGTTGTAGTTTTCTGTTAGCTAGCCTCCCTCACAGGTAAAGATCATGTATACCAATTCTGGCCAAGGTACCCTAAGGGGGGCCTTGTAGAAACTTCTGGAAAAGGTTCTCCTCTATATTGAAAAGTGGTGCATAAGAGGAAACATCATCGCTTGATGCAATGATGGCTGCAAGAGATACTGGTAACAACTGCAGTCATTTTGCAGCTGAAGATGGCAGAGCAGAGAGAGCAAAGTGCCACTGAGCTGCTAACATTGTGCCCCTCTAGGTTTCTTACTACGTGAAATAACAAATGCTGGCGTTTGAAGCCGCCTGCAGCTAATTATTCTCCTTGCCAGGCAAGTGCTTCCTAAATGATGTCTCATGTTCCTTCTTTAAATTTGCCTTCCTACTCTTTTCTCTCTGGAAGCTCCTACCCACACTTCTGTGACCCTCACCCATTCATCCGCTCACCCACTAAATTTTATGCTCTTCCAGAACACAAGCTAGGGTGGTGTTTTCTACCCAATGGCTGCTCAATTAATGTTGTCGAAATGGCTAATAATAATAATATAAAATAACCCAGGATTATGGTCAGCATGATACATACTTCTCATGTTGTCTTTGTCTAGATATTTCTCTCTACTTATCAGTAGTACCAATGTCATGCTGTAGCACAATATTCTTGATATTCATTTCTAGAGTGAGAAAATACATTTCCTTTCCCAACTGAAGATCATCAGAATTTTCCTAAGTTCTTAAGCTATTTTTCTTATCAATACAAAAACTCCAAAAATGAAAAGTATAGGTCAATAATTAAACAATATTTTCCTTTTCTGCTTCTGGGATTTTGGACATAACAAAATGGGAACTAAGGAGTAGGATAGTGAAAGACATATTACTTTTTTTTTTTAATCAAGCAATTATGCATGTTAAAAGGAAGAAACAAAACCCAGCCCAAAGTGATTCTTCACTTAACAATTCATTGTTTCACATCAAAATCTGTACTGGGTTTTAGTCAACTATTTAGTAATTCTAGATATTTTCTAAGCGTACCATTTATGGTTGTGTTTATGTAGAGACTCAACTCCTTAGATTTTAATGAGTTCCTTCAAAGCATAATGCTATCCCAAAAATCAAAAGAACTTTGGACTCTCCTGCTT